TTGTAAACCGCAATGAGTCGCCGTTTTAGGCTGAGATATTAGCGGTATACAAGCGCATTAATAAATAAATAATAAATAAATAATATTTGAATATATGCATGTAATAATCTCAGACTCTTTTGTCATGATGCTAACTCTGTTCTGTGATAACTGAACATTTTACAGCACATAGCTTTGCTTACATATGTAATGTTCCTATCTCCATAAAAAAATTAAAATCTTTGTGATAACGTGCTGCGATCCAGCCATTAATTCATTCTTCAGTGGCACTGGCACACCTTAGAATTATGCATCACATCCAGTGCGGCACTTAAAGGCTGCTGCATGAATAATGCCGGGGCAAATAATCAGCTTGTAAACAGTGAGCAATTTGGATGGCTTATAAATTGTGCTGTGATCCTCTGGTGCCATCATAGGTCCAGGCATACGTTGTCCCTGCCTCTTAATTGCCACAGTAGCCAACATTACATTAGTGCCCTTTCATTAATCCACCTCCAAATTGGCACACTTCCCCTGTCAGTTTTGATGGATGTGCTGCTCATAAAAAACAAGAAATGGAGAGACTTGCCTGGAGCAAGTTTTCAAACATCATTTTCCTGATGTCTGAAACACATGTGGACCACATTTTTACTCACAATGTCCACTTCCCACATGAGGCTGCACAGATGACTTCCTGTCCCCAACCATTTGTGTTAATATAATGCCCACTCAATACAGTCATTATTGGGACCATTATACTTGGAAATACCTTTGCATTATAGTGCACTCACAGATGGAGACAAGGAGGGAAGGATGTTGGAATTTCTGGCATGATATTTAACAGATGTGATTTTTGCTCTAATTTTTGAAACTAGCTTGCTGTAGTTTAAGGCCCTTAAAGTAGGAATTCTCTTCAGACACTCATAACCGCAGTGAAATGTGTGTAGATTTTTTTCCTACATGGCAGGGGGTTGGACTAGATGACCCATGTGGTCTCTTTCAACTCTATGATTCTATGATTCTATGAAACATACTGGTCCAGATTGCTGCATCCACACCTGAATAAACCTGCAGAAACCTAAGAAGTTACACTTTATTTTTAACAAGGTTTTTTTGGTAATTACTTCTTTGTACTACAAAGCTGTCGATTCTTTCTTTCTTTCTTTCTTTCTCTCTCTCTCTCTCTCTCTCTCTCTCTCTCTCTCTCTCTCTCTTTCTTTCTTTCTTTCTTTCTTTCTTTCTTTCTTTCTTTCTTTCTTTCTCTTCCTTCTTTTCTCTTCTTTTTGCCTATAATGGCCAAGACTGTAATTCACTAATTTTTAAAGGGAATGTAACGGAGATTCTGAAAACCACCATGATGTATTAGTTAGATGGTGGATTATGACTCTGGAGATGAAGGCTTGATTCCTTACTTGGCCATGAAAACCATTGGTGACTTTGGATAAGGCAGAGACTCGCAGCTCTATAAAACCCATGATAGGTTCACCTTAGAGCCATCATAATTTAGTAATGACTTGAAGGCGCACAACAACAAACAGGGTTTCTTGTTAATCATTGCTGGGTGTATTCTCACTCAGTTTGAATAGTGAGATGGGAAGAGAGTATGTTACAGTGTACTACTTATTTGTGGATGTTGTGCAGCTAGTGATGAGGAACCAGCAACAACAGGGAAAAGCCAGCCAGAGGGGGGTGGAGGGCGGGGTGGAAATAGAGTAAGGCGATACACATATTGCAAGCATTTGCTACTCTACAAACTCGGATTTTTTATTTTTAAAAAAATCATTGTTTTTAAACGATGTCAGGGGAATAGAGTAAGGAGAAACACATATTCCAAGCATTTGCTACTCTACAAACTCAGGTTTCATTCTGGTCAGATGATTTAGGAGGAAAGGGGCTGAAAGAGTCCAATTAATACAAGTTTTTGAGTCTGAAGTATTATTTTCTGATTGACAGAATACTTGCGATTTTTTAAAAAAAGAAAATAATGTTTTTTAAAAGATGACCAATCTCTTTTTTCCAAATCATAGAATCATAGAGTTGGAAGAGATCTCGTGGACAAAGAGAGCAAGTGTTCGCATATGTGTGCATGCTCCTTTTCACAAGTTGGCCTCTCCAAACAGCAGCACAAGGTGTTGGTAGTGAGCTGTGTGAGATATCTTTGTGTTTAGAAAGGAAGGGATGTTTCTTTGCTTACCGGAGTCTGGCTTATATGATTTAAAATAATTGTTTGAGAAAGAGGGAGATGGGAAATGAAGACAGATTGAGTGAATCTGCCCTCACTCTCTCCCTAATTGATCTCTTCCACCCCACCACCCACTTCTGCACCCTGCACCCTGAAGGTGCAGCCATTGCTGCCCCTGTGTAGTAACCCCATTTTCCCTTCTCTTCTCCACTGCTGCAGTCAGAATTGCAATCTGGTCACCAGTGAATTAAGTGTCATCTGAAGAAAAATGTCTGAAACCAACAACCTGGCACTTTGTATGTGTTAAAGAAAAATTAATTTGTCATGTCTTTTGCACTTCCCACCTCTAAATTTCCAAGATGCAATGTGTGAAATGGCCACGTGGGGAGGTAGAGAGTCCCTTTATTTTATAATAGATCAAGAGTGAAATAATCCATTAGTAACGTGTAATCCATTGAAACATTTTCCAGTAACAGTTGATACTAACACTTGAACAAATAGAGTAATAAAGTAATGCTTCTTCTTAAAAGTATTTCTTCTTCTTCTTGATTATATACTTGTAAAATAGCTACTTCTGATATACTATGAAGGACACATGTCTACAAAAACAAGGGTCATAAATGCTTTAAAAATGATGGCTTTATAGGAATTTGGCATTCTAAATCCAAAAATGACCCCATCATATACAGTTTTTCACAATTGCTTTGACATTTTTATGTTGTAATATGTGACTGAATGTAATTAGTATTTAAATTAGTAATGAAATTTGAAATAACTACGTGTGGTACAATATTTTATTATGCCTTTTGAATCTATCAACCCCCACTCCACTACATCAAAAACAGCTACAATATCAGAAATTCATTTTTTTTCATCTCAGACTTGTGTAATAGATACAATTCATCATTTTATTTGTGCTACTCTTGTCTGCCTAGCAAACATGCACTGTATCTTTATAGTCTGAAATGATTTTTTAAAAAAGAGAATGGTGAATGGGAAGTAGAAGTGCCATTTCTTTGTTGGTGCCCATATATGTGCACTTCTTGTGCAAATTCATATCAATTCCTGGTGGCTTCTGTGTTAGAGGCAGTAAATCCAAGTATTACTTCAAACTTTAACAGAACTGTCCAAGGTGCTGAATTTTACCATCAAAATAGGTTCAGTTGGAACAGACATGTGCAAACTTTGGCCCCCCAGATGTTTTGGACTTCAGCTCCACAATTCCTAACAGCCTACTGGCTGTTAGGAATTGTGGGAGTTGAAGTCCAAAACACCTAGAGGGCCGAAGTCTGCCCATGCCGGAGTTAGAAGTTTACATTGGTTCATGTGCTCCAATTATTCCCTTGATTTTCTGCATCCTGCAGTGGTTTTTGCCTTTGGGGCGGTTCTGGGGATGCCTTAAAAATAGGTTAAGTTGATAGAATTGCCTTCAGGACTCAACAATTTCCCCAGGATCTCCAGAAATTAAATGTCCTCAAGGGTGGTGCTGGTGGATGTATCTTGTCTCTGGGGCACGTCCATTTAAATGCATACACATGAGGATGATGTTTAATGCAACATATAAGCTAACTTGTCATTTTATATGCTGGTCAGGATCCCTTTTGAATTGCTGATAATGGATTGCAAGGCAATTATTTTAATCTTGCACATCTATATCTGATAGAATTGGCATCCTCATGGTTTCTTAAAACAGTTGCACAGTAAATTAATCTAATTTGCAGTTGTGGCATGGATTTCTTATGTTTGGTGAATAATACTTTGGATAAGATTTGAAGTTCCCTTCTCCATGAAATGCTGAAATACATGCTAATAGTTGATATCATCATTACTATATTTTAGACCACTGACTAAAACACTCTTTGTTTGCCAGGTGTCTGTGTATGGTAAAATTCTATGCATGTCACTCACAAATCTCATTGTTTTGATTCTAGCAATGTTGAGTAACTTGTAGCCTTCCAGATTTTCTTGGACTTCAACTATCATCATCTTTTAGTATTGGCCATGCTGGTTAGGGCAGATAGAAGTTGCAGTTCAATTACAACTGCACAGCTATGACCTGGTTGCAACGTACTGCTCACAACTACACTACATCAAAGTAAATGGGATTCATTCATAAATGTTCACAGAAAGACCATGGCAAACCACCTCAAGAGTGCTTTGCCTAAGAAAACCCTGTGAAATTCATTGTGTCTCCATAAATTGACAGGCAATTTGAATGCATATACTTTAGTTTTAAATCCCTCCTACCATTGGCGCGATGGGCTAAACCCCTGAAGACCAACAGGTTGGAGGTTCGAATTCAGGGAGAGCACAGAAGAGCTCCTTCTATCAGCTCCAGCTCCCCATGCGGGAACATGAAAGAAGCCTCCCACAAGGATGGTAAAACATCAAAACATCCGGACATTCCCTGGGCAACACCCTTGCAGACGTCCAATTCTCTCACATGAGACGTGACTTGCAGTTCCTCAAGTCACTCAAGACATACACAAAAAACCCTCCAACTTTTAAAATCCACACAGAATTGCTGTTTAAGGGGAAAACCCTTTAAAGTGTGCAGAATCTGCTAACAATGTTATCATTTGCTATTGTTCTTTTTTCTCATCTTCACTACTACCATTGTTTTGATTCATATTTATATATTATTTTATTGTCAAATTATTATTCTGGTCAGATGATTTAGGAGGAAAGGGGCTGAAAGAGTCCAATTAATACAGGTTTTTGAATCTGAAGTAATATTTTCTGGTTGACAGGACACTTGAAATTTTACTCTGAGTGCCTTTCTCTTTAACTAATAGAAAAAGATATCACATAATGTGAAAAGAATTATTGGGTCACTAATTAATTTTCAATCATGTGTATTAGACCAGCATGTTCATTTTAATGATCTGGCTCACTATTTTGATTCCCTTCCTGAAAATAGATTTAAATATTTGCCAGCTCTGTCCGGGAGGAGTGTGTTTCTCAGGAAACTGCCAAGCTGATGGTGACTTTGCCAGTCAGGGGTTAAAAGAGGTCAAACAGCCAGAAGAGCAGAAACTTGTTGATTTTGATGATCTCTGTCATAGAACCTTCAGGACATAAAATGATTCAGGGTTGCATCAGCTTCAAAAGCGGGTTAGCATATGAGTTAAAAAAAGAAGTGTATGCCACTTTGCTGGTCCCAAGCTGGCTATGTGTGTGTTTGTATCTGTGTTTTTGTTTGTTTGTTTGTGTATGCATGGAAGGGAGGGAGACAGGGATAGCGTAAGAGAGAGAATCTGGGCCAGCAGCTCTTAGCTTATTGGCTTTGTTCTTTATTGGCTGGTTGTGTGCTCATGAGTGTTGGAACAGACCCCAAAATTAGGAATGCCTCTCACGTTTTCAAGACTGAAAGTAGAGCATACAAATCCTCCAAGTCTGTGCAACATGTCATGATTAATGACTCCAGATTTAAAGTGCTATCCCTGTGTTTCTTTCTCTTCAACCTTTTTAACTGCCTGATTTCCTTCTTTTTCTCTTTTTAAATGGCTCATACAGTGGGAAGAAGTCAGTGGCTACGACGAGAACCTCAACACAATCCGTACTTACCAAGTGTGCAACGTCTTTGAACCCAACCAGAATAATTGGCTTCTCACCACATTCATAAACCGAAGGGGCGCACATCGCATTTACACAGAGATGCGCTTTACTGTACGGGATTGTAGCAGCCTTCCCAATGTCCCTGGTTCCTGTAAGGAGACCTTCAACTTGTACTACTATGAAACAGACTCTGTTATCGCTACCAAGAAGTCTGCCTTCTGGACCGAGGCCCCCTACCTCAAAGTGGACACTATTGCTGCAGATGAGAGCTTCTCTCAGGTGGACTTTGGTGGTAGGTTGATGAAGGTGAACACAGAGGTGAGGAGTTTTGGTCCTCTCAATCGCAATGGCTTCTACCTTGCCTTCCAGGATTATGGGGCATGCATGTCACTGTTGTCAGTAAGGGTCTTCTTTAAGAAATGCCCCAGTGTGGTACAGAATTTTGCCATCTTTCCAGAGACTATGACAGGAGCAGAAAGCACATCTCTTGTGATTGCACGGGGCACATGTATTCCCAATGCTGAGGAGGTGGATGTGCCCATTAAACTGTACTGTAATGGTGATGGAGAGTGGATGGTTCCCATTGGGCGATGCACCTGCAAAGCTGGATATGAGCCTGAAAACAGTGTGGCCTGCAAAGGTAAGCGGATACTTTGTTGCAATGTAATTTGATAACCATTGCCTTCCTACCTGAAATACTTTCTAAAAGTCTTTGAGATGGAATAGTTTCCAAGTTTCTCTAAAGGAGCTGACTCAGAACTACATTCTATTGATTTTCCCTGGGGGATTACAAGTTTATATATCTTTGTTCTTCTTTGATATTGGTTGCTCTGAGCTTAATTCTCTCAGTGTCAGCTTGTCATGTGAGAAACTTTCTGAAAATCTGTCCCTGGGTCTTGGCTGTTTCCATGTTAATTTCATGCTCTGGATTCAGGATTGTGTCGACAATCCTCAATCATAGTAATGGCTCTCCTCATGGCAGGAGAATACAGGAAACATGCATATAATGCATATTGCTTCAATGCTTGAATAGGCTTTTCAGTTTTAAAGTTTGTGTAACTTTATTGTTTGAACTATAAGACTTCATTCATATTATTTTGTATTAATATTGAAGAACCAGTTTGATATCAAATGAACAAGTCCTCTGCCTGTCATCAATTCATAGCATATGGGAAACAGTACTGTGCATATCTAGTAACCTAGGTCAAAGTTTTAGTTTGAATATAGGCTTCTGCAAAAGCTGGGTTGCAGTTTGCATCTTTTTCCATATCTATTTGGTATATGGTTTGGAGGGCCAGATTTCTTGTGATCAGTATTTAAGAATGTAGCTACATGTATAAACATCTCTTTGCATGTTCATAAAACTCAAGAATGACTTCAGCTCTATCCAGGGGGAAGTGAACATAACAGAAAAATCTTAGCCAAGATTCTGTTCTGTGCAGAATAATAATACCTGTCTAACAGTATCAGACTCAGGGCAGTCTCTGTTGGAATGATCCTGTTGTGTCATGTTGTGACACGATGCTATTATGTCACTTGTTGTGTCAGGAGGGCTGACCTGCTGGCCTGCTTCACAGATACAATGGAGGAAATGAAGAACTCCATTAGCCATTCTGTAAATATCCTTATTGCTTTTATATTGCTCATTGAAAAAGAAGAAACTTTCCCTGTTCAAAATCTGGAGAATAAATACTAATTGGATATTGTGTTTTGTATTTCCCTTTATAGACACTGTATTTTTGGAGAAACAGAAGTTAATTAGGGAGTATTATTCTTTTGAATCTCATGAACTTTGCCCTTGTATACTGGTCAAAAGAGCTAATCTCAAAAATGAGAAATCTAATCCAGATGGTGGGAAAGCATGGCCTTTTCTATTTTGTCCAATGTTGACACTGGTATAGAAGGTGCTCAAAACAGATGGGGGGATCAAAATATGTAGAGCATACATTTGAGAAGGTTCAAGGGACATGATGCAAACTATCTCTGCAGATGTAAAGCTGCATACTAATGATATTTCACTGCCAATGAGTGCTGAGGCTAGAACAGCTATATGTGGCGCTCACTCTCTTCCATAACAGTAGGTTGGTGCATCTACTTCTAGTTTTTGTTTGAACTTTAAATGCACTACTTCCATGCAAGATATGATTCAGCACCTTGGAGAGATCCTGGGGGATATGTACCACAAGCCAGAATGAATCTACCACGTCACGGATATGGAAGTCGTCAGCCATCACTGTATGTTGCAAATGTCATGTCTTTAAAGTGAATCAAAAGTGTATATGTTGATACTTCATTGGCCATGTGCCCAACACAGCACATTCTGAACACTCATTTCACATATTGTTTGCTATGTTTGTAGTGAAACTCTGAGAGAACGGCCTGCAAATGTTTGGTAAATACTTCAAGTAGCAAAGACATGTACTCTTTTACACGACACATTGTGACCTTAGTTTCTCATTTACGCTTCTAAATTTTCTCTAAAACAACATCCTGCCAACACCAGTTTAATATTAGCAAATATACTGTTTTGCTTTTAGCACATATTCTAAAAAGAATGTTTATCTACTGGTGCAGTTTTTAAGAAAACGGAAATAGTATCTCATGAAACTGAGTCTAAGGATTAAGCAGAGGCGATGCTGCAGATCACTCAGTCCATACAGGCTGCTTCTCAGATAGCTTGAACAAGGACATCCATAATTCCCAGCCAGCATGCTAGCTAGGGATGTTGGGCATTGAAGGACTTGGAGTTGGAAAACTATAACATGACTGTATTCTCTAGTTTATGTGAGTACAGTTTTTATAGGACTATGTAGATGAATTGTGAAGTGAAATTGATGTATTTCCAAAAGATCTAGTGATGACTACCACGTGGATGGCTTTCAAAGGAATTGGACAACTTCATGGGGGGGGGGGGATAAAGCTATCTATACTACCACATGATTTATACATATTTAATGTGGTACGAGAGGCAATATGCCCCTGCATACGAATTGCTAGGGAGTATGAGCAGAAAGTTACAGATTAATTGAAGGCTTCATCCAGTTGGCTTAATTTTCCAGGGTTCCATAGCATATGGCCTGACTCTATAATCACATCCTATTCTGATGTTAAAAAATGGAGGTAAAAATAAAAATGTGAGCAAGGGAAGCAGTCTACCATCACTACTCTCTGACATCATATAAAGGGCAACTTTGAGAAGATGAAAGTCTCCTGCCTCTGTCAAAACTCAATTCAGAACTCTAGAATATCAGTATTCTTGGTCATATAGAGCGCTTATACAGAACCTCATCCCATAAAGGAGGGGGAGTGGGGGGAGTTGTCTTCCTACGGAGCCCATCAAGCGATGCAGGACTGCTTCCTGTGGCTGCCCGTGGTATCTTTAAAGTTTATAGAAATGGAAAAACTGTGAAGTCAGGGAGGAATTGACCCAGCACGCATAAGTGATTAAAAACGATGTTTTAAGGTGGGATGGGAACAACTGTTAAGTTCTCCCTTTGAAAACAGAAAGTCACTGGACACCACACCAAGAAGATGATTCCTTGTGCTTCCCCACTTCCCTGTCCCCTTGTGGGATGATGTCCACAGACATTCACTCTCCATGTCAAGAAAGAAGAGTTAAGACTGGGATAGAACTAGATACTCTTCCTCCTTGCATGGTTGTTTGATCTGTTTTTCCCCCATTTCAAAAATGCACTTTCTACCTTTACAATGAACTGATGGAATGGGGTAGAGGATAATAAAAGATGTCTTTTCAGGCTAAAATTTTTAGACATCCTCAACCAACATACCTTTCCCCATTTTTTTCAAAATTCTGGATAGGGCTAGCATTCTTTCCCTTCTTGTGTTTTATTCTGCACAATTTCATAAGACCTGTAGAGGGATAATGTGTGGAGCAGACCACATTGCACTTTGGCTTTCCCATAAAGTTAAGGTGTCCTTTCAAGTAGCCTGGCTGTATAAACATCAAAAGTAATGCCTGCATGCCTTTTGGTTTTGTTGTGCGGTGCATCAGACAATGCTTCCACCATCAGTATACACTGATTACTTTTTATCTATACTGACCAATTTGACAAACGATGACTATATGAGCACAAAATGCACCATCCTACCAGTAGAACAGTGTCCAAGGAAATTAGTATCCTTTTCCAGGAACACTGTCCATCTTTCTATGCAGGCAGCATAATACCAAAAGAAAAATGTGATAGTTGTCATTTCGATATTGTTTTAAGCCAGGCCTTGGAAGGTTTAGACTATTTTGCCATGCCTGGGCCTATGGAGGCCAGCTACAGCCAATTTGTAAAAGCTCCATCTCAACATTAACCCAAAACTTTTCCCTCATTTTCTTCTCCATCAATTTTACTCCTAAATAAATTATTCATATTTAATCTTTGTAAATTATAATTTGTTTTCCATTTATTCCAGCACCTGTTCATAATGCACTAGATGAAGAAAATGATATGGTCATCAATTATCTCTGAAGTCTTTTTATGGTTGCATTGCATTACAAGATGGCTGTAAAACACTGCATGCACACAGAGATACGTAAAGAGAGAGAGAGAGAACTATTCTTGTTATTTTACAGCTTCCTCTTATTTTCAGTGCACCTCAGATTAGCAAATACTTCAAACGCTGTTGCTGCTTTTGCACCAGCTCCCCATCTTCTTTTTAAATCAGAATGTCTAAGTTAAAACTGGAGATAAACCTTTGTGGAAATTCCTTTGGAGAATGTTATGTGAGTTTGGAGAGCCATATAATTATGGCTTCCTCCTTACCAGATTTGGGGGAACGAATAAGGATGGGCATCTCTATTCATTTTCTGTTGGTGAGTTTCCTGGTGACACTTGTATGCTGCTTCCAGAAGCTTGGAGTAGAGTGGGAAGAAATGGTCTGTTTAGCAAGGTGGGTTACTCTACTATTTCTGGGGCTTTGGTTCCCAGCAGCATGAAGAACACTACAAGTGGCAATATGTATTGCAAAAGCCATGCAAGAACAAAAAGATTAAATACATTGATGTAAGGGCACAGAAGGAACCAGGCTGATTCAGACTAGAGGCCCATCTACTCTATCACTTTGTTCACACTGCAGCCAACTGGATGAAGCCTTCAATTAATCTGTAACTTTCTGCTCATACTCCCTAGCAATTCGTATGCAGGGGCATATTGCCTCTCGTACCACATTAAATATGTATAAATCAGAATAGGATGTGATTATAGAGTCAGGCCATATGCTATGGAACCCTGGAAAATTAAGGTTCAAAATTGTATAGAATACCTTCATGAAGCAAGCAAACTCTGCTCTTTAGAAAATAATCTTGCATGTGTGAAGTGCTATAGAAACAATGGCAAGGGGGGAGAGAGGCACCAGCTTTGTTTACTCTACATGATTTTGTAATATCTAAACACTGCTACTGATTCCTTCTGCACTATATATGCATATGAGCTTTTTTGATGAGCAGAAAACAGCATTTTTATGCATGAAACTTAAGCCCAGATATTTCCTGTGCATGACATGCTGCTTTCAGTGTGTGCACATGCGCACATCCAAAGACATGTTAATTTTGCAAAGAACAAGTCCCTAATTAGTTCAGGATGCTCCTTATCAGGGTGTCTTGATGCTTGAGAAACACATTCTCAAACATTTTCAGTTTGTTAAAATGTTCTTTCCAGCACTAGCCTCAACACAAC